AAAAATATTTGAGTTCATTCTTGATTTTTATATGGTCTTACTTATTTTTTCTTGATTATAAGAATATAGTTTCTATTTTTCTCTCTTATTTCCATTTTATAATCATTTTAAAAACCTTTTTCTTTTATTTTAAATATAATTTTATTTTTTTGTATATATATTCTGGCTGATCTTTGGATTAAAATTTTGATCATGAACTTTATTAACATCATTGGATCCATGGTATTGAGTCTAACTCTATACAAATGGATGAATGATTTTAATAATAGTTTGATTAAATTTTGGTTCAAATGTGGTTTATTCATTTTCCCTTCCCTCTTCATCTTATCCCATTTTTATTGTACCAAATGTTATTGGAGCATGATTTACATATCATGTCTCAAAACATAAGGTGCATAGATTGTTATTGACCGACCTCAAAATATGTGCGACTTCTATATAAGTCCACTTACGATTGCTTAACATAACGCTAAATTTTGTCCCGATTTTATAAAATGATCATTTGTGGCTCAAACCTATGTTTGCAAGTCCAAGTATGTTAATTTGAACCCTTTGATCCAATAACCTTGAGATCCATTGTTAGGAGAATTTGGTTCTACCAATCCTCTAATGGAACTTCATCAACTTGGTCAAAGTGGATCACTTAAACATCATTAATCATTAAGTGTTATCTTGAGAATTCTTAAATGGATGATATACTTGACAAAAAGCAAATGCAACTTGTTATTGAGAGGCTTTGGTTCTACCAATTCTCTAATGAGTTCGAAAATGTAAAGTTTCAATATGGTCATCCAACTAACTACTAATTCCTAACAATTGACTTTATTTTATGTTTTTATTTTATGCTTTTACTTTATGTATCATTTACTTTAGCATTTAAATTTAATGCTATTTTTATCTTTGCTCACTTGAGCCTTTATCTTCATGTTATTTTTATTTTGCTCACTTGAGCTTTTCATTTCTTTTTGAAGATACCTAATAATCAACTTGAATCCTAAAAGCTTTAATGTTACTTGGACTACATGGTTACTATCATTGGCATTATGGAGTGATGGACTTCTTGGACTTAAGATTAGAAACCTTGACCCACCTTGAGACTTTGTGACCTTGATTGTTATTTTGTCTGGAGTACTTCGGGTTTATCCCAAGATATTGGGTTGTTTGTTTGTTTTGTGTGCAGGTTATTGTGATTACATGTTTAGTCTGTGATTTGGAATTCACTTGTATACAACTGTTACTCTGCCCAATTTTTGTGAAGACTTAATGCAATTGGAGCTTGGTTTTCTTAAGAGGTTTATCATCTTAGCTTGTTTGGTTTCAAATCCAAAGGATGAAAATTCTATATTGACTCATTGTGTCAAATGTTGGCTTCTTGTTGGTTAGATGGTTATTTTTCCTTAACTTTTACCTTATGCTTTAGGATAGTCTCTTCATCTCCTCCCATCTTCTTTAATTTCAAAAATCTTCTCCCTCCTTTTGAAATAAATCTTTTTGTTTTAAAACTTGAATCACATTCATAATAAACTTGGACTTATATCCATGTATTTTCAAAAATTATTTCTTAATTAATTTCAATTAGCTTAACAATACCTTGACATTTTTGTGAGAAGACTAAAAGTCAATAAATCTCATTCAAAGTATTTTGTCATTTTGGCTTTTATATTTAAAAACTTTTCTCAAAAGATTGGACTCTTATCAATCCTTATAGTAATATAAACAACTATACTTCTACAATATATAGTGAAGTGATATATTTTCTACTTGGGTGTTGAGTGAGGCATTGTTGATTGTAAAATCCAAGTCATATCCTCCTTTTTGAGATGACGCAAATTCTCCTTTCTCATAATTATGGGTAGTAAGTATGTTTTCCACACGGACAATGACAATGATGTCTTGTCTCTTAAAATTAACCAACGCACTTGTGTTTTAAATTTTTTAAAGAGGAACTATGTGTGCCCTGATCCCCTATTGCACGGAAGGTGGTACGTAGGCACTTAAGGTTCACAACTGCGGCGGGTGTAAAAATCATAAAAAATATACTTCTTTTCTCACCATCACAATTTATTTTCATATAACATTTTATAGCCAAAACATACAGATTTTACAAAGAGGTTCCTGCAGAGTACCATAGATGTTTAGGGTGCTAATATCTTCCCTTTGCATAACTAACCCCCTTACATAGAATCTTTCCCCCTTCTTTTGGATTATTCACTCTTTTCCCATTCATTTGGAAACAATAAAGTGCAGTGACGATTTTGATTTTGATTTGTGCGAGTCAAGTTAATCCAATAACTTAGTCTCAATATTTTTACCGCTACAGCATTTGTTTCTGTTATCAACAAAAAAAAGGGTTAGATAAATAAATAATTTTCTTCTTAAATAAATATTTAAGTACACAAACCTTAAACCCATATATTTTTCTGCTTTTGCAATCAATCATAGAGAACTCTTCATCACAAAGACTCTTGCATATCTTAAAATGGAGGAAAATTTCAAGCGCTCCATGATGTTTTATTATCAATTTTTTAGATTCATAATACTTTTATAATGTAAGTTAACCTAGGTTTCACGTGGATCACTAATGGTAGTGTCTTGAGCATTGATAGTCATGAAATGGACGACGAGGATTTGATTAAAGACGGTGACAAATATCCTTAACTTTAACACTAAAATGTCCCCTCGATTTTTAGAAACACCGAGGTGCAAGATATTTTTATTTTTTGTTAAATTATATTTTTTACAAAGAATATCACAACAAATTCTCACTTCTGATTTAGGCTTAGTGAAATTAACAAAAGCATATCCTTTACTTAGTCCAGTTCTGTAAATTAATAGTAAACAACACACGATCATCAATTATCATTATTTTTAAAGAAGGGTATGAACATTGAATGGTCTAGAGAAGAAATTCGGTAGCATACCTGAAATCTATCGGCAAGTTATTTTATTTTCTGCACTTGCAATCCATCACACAGATATGTTCTTAAGTGATTCTAGATCAAAAGTTTCCATACCAATAGACAGTGGTAAATATTTCCTCTATCATGTGCGGCTACTTATTAATTAGAATTAGGGTAAAATCTATTTAACAATGGTATTTTATAGTAAAATCTGATAACTTTATCCCTCGGCTTTAACATAAAACTAATGTATAAAATCTTTTGATTATAGCTATCACCTTGTTTTTTTTTTTAAATCGAGGTGAAAAAGTTTTTTTTTTTGGAATTTACATTGCTTACACGAAATATCAAAATAAATTGTTTAAAATGAATCTTGCTCTTTTGAATGAATATCTTTGCTGATATCCATCATCTGATTAATTAAGCTCCCTTCATTGTGTACCTGTTAAAAACAGAAGGGAGCTTCCTTCATTGTCTCTTTGAATCAAAAATGATTTTTCTGCACTTGCAATCTATGTAATGAGCAAAAATACAACAACAATACCAACACCAACAACAACATCAACACCGTTATGTGAGATAGATTACAATGGCAGGAAAAAAATATTTTGTTCTATAAGAACATTGAAGGTTTTTTCTGTCTTGCAATCCATTCCAAAGAATGATGCTTGCGAGTTTGGGGCGACTACAAATAAGTAAGAATTAGGGTAAAATCTTTTTGCTTTTATAGTGAAATTTGATTAGTTGATCTCTCGGTTATATCGAAAAACCAAAGGGTTGGTTGTTTTAGTTTACGTTTATAATCAAAATAAAACATCAACTACAAAAGTTTGGAATCGAAGCGCGTCCATATTAATCTTACTCGTCAGATGTATTAGAAATCGAGGTAAGTTGTTATTTTTATAATTAAAAAAAAATATAAAACATGGTGCGCCTATGCTTAATACCTCGTTGTTTTTCTGGATGACGTAACAACTTCATCATGAAATGCGTTATTTATTGCAGTGTGAGCCTCAAATATGGTGAAAATGGTCTAACATGCAAAGTTAACAATCCAACATCCAAGTTAGTATGTGAAGGTGAATACTGAATGAAGTTTGAATTTGAAATTGCATACCTAAAATTAGCATACACGCCTTTTATGTAATTGAGCGGTTATAAAAACCCGATATTTTCCAGGAGTGTGACGCAGGGATCCATTGAATGTATCCTAGCTCTGAATCTTGTATACTCTTTTATATAGTAGTTTCCATGTATTATGGATAATTTGAGTGAATTATTGTTTCTACTAGGTCGCGAGTGATGGTCATTTTGACCAACCCAAAATAAATTTTTATTTTTATAAGAAACAAATACTATATTGTAAAAAGAAAAACATATACAAAAATAGAGGGTTAGGCCATACCAACAAAGATAAAAGAAAAAGCAAAGATATAAAAATATATCAAACAAGCAGATAAAAACCAAGCACCAAAATCCTTTTTAAATGAGAGACAGACTACATGAGCTAATCAAATATGGAGTTAAGTAAATCAAAACGTTACATGAAAAACTTCTCCCTAATAAAAAAGGAAAATTATTCCACCACAAGAAGTCCAATATAACATGTCCATGATTTGCTACCTTGTTAATGTTCATGCTTCATTCTGTCTCTATATATGCAAGTAATTAACTCCACCTTAAGAAGTATTTAAATAATTAGTTTGAGAATCACTATTTTTATTTTAAAATCTATTTCAACCGGACTGCAAACACTCTTAAATTATCATTAAATAATAATATTTGATTGAAAAAAATAGAAATATTAAACTAAATTCAAAGATAGTGATTTCCCAAAAATATATATTAAAATTTCCTTTGGTAAAAAGAAAAACGGTTAAGAAAAAGTGTAGACTAATCGTTAAAGGTGCAATGTCTCCATCTATAAATCCAATTTCCAAACCCATTTTTCTTCACTCTTTCAACATTCCACTTCATTTCCACCGCATCACACCACCACTCATTTTCCAAACCTATGCACATACTTTTCTCTTTCCACCACAATCTTGATTCAAAAATGTGTGTAATATCTCTCTGATCCCAACTTCCAGAACCAGATTCATGAATCAGAGAGAGTGGATACGGTTCAAGATATGCGTGAGGGAGTTCATGATTGGGGTTTCGGAATTAACTGTGGAGTTTGGGAAAGGTTGTAGGGATATAGTGAAACAAAACTTGTTGAATCAAGATTCGTTTCTTGTTAGGAAATTTGGAAAGAGTTGGAGTAGAGTAAGAGAACCATGTCACGAGATGCTCAACAAATTGAGCTTTTTTAATGACTATTTGCCTGAGGATAAAGACCCATTTCATGTATGGTCTGTCATATTCTTGGTTTTCTTACTTGCTTTCTCAGGTTATAACTTCATTGCCATATGTTTCCTTTTTTCGGGGTTTATCAATAAATAACATCAGGTTTTTATTTTTAGTTCTGGGTTTTCAATTCATGTTATAATTGAACTCAATGCCTTCATTGTAGCTTCCAACACCTACATTGTGTTGGGTTTGAGGGGTGGATTTAGTTTCACATTGCTTAGAGATATATATGGCTTGTGTTGTGTTTATAAGTGGGGGTAATACTTACCTTACAAGCCGGTTTTTTAGGGATGAGTTAGGTCTAACCCAAATTCTGAGAGGAATCCTAGAAGGATTTCTTGTATTGTATTTTTTTAGGTTGTTTGATCTATTTATAGAAGTTTAAGTTGTATGTTTAGCTAATGTTTGGTCTGCTCTATATTTGGTTGACATGATATGGTTGGTTTATTTGCAGCTTTGTATGTAAATTTTGAGTATGATCCATCTGCCCCACTTGTGAAGCAAGTATTTTTGCATCCTGCTTGTGCTTCGCGTATTGTGCTTCCCGATGGAAGATACATGGCATATAAGGAGCGAGGTGTATCGGCCGACAGAGCTAGATTTTCAGTTATTGCTCCTCATACTTTTCTTTCATCTCGGCTTGCAGGTTGTTTGAAATTTTTTAAAGCTTTGATTGTTTGTTTTGAACTTTACGTTCCACCTTAAGTTTGAGGCATTGTTGAATGTTTTTAATTTTGAAATTAGGAATTCCTGGAGTTAAAGACTCACTGCTGGAAGAGTTCGGCATTCACTTGCTCACTTATGATCTGCCTGGTTTTGGTGAGAGTGACCCTCATCCCAAACGAAACCTTGAATCCTCAGCAATAGATATGTCGTATTTAGCTGATGCTCTTGGTGTTGACAAGTTTTGGGTTATTGGTTACTCAAGTGGAAGCAAACATGCCTGGGCAGCACTTAGATACATACCTGATAGACTTGCAGGTATTAATACTAATAGATCTTTTTTGTCTTATACTTCTCTTTTTTGTGTGTGTGTACATGCGACTTTTAACTTGAATAAATTTGGCTGCACTTAGATTCACGTATTTTTTTTTCTATTATAAGCAGTGAGAATAAGCATATAACATGCATTATGAAATTGATCTGTCAGATGTCGTGCATTAACTCACAGGTGCTGCCATGTTTGCCCCCATGGTGAACCCATATGATCCTATGATGACAAAGGAAGAGAGACGAAGAACCTGGACCAAATGGACGCGAAAAAGAAAATTCATGTACTTCTTAGCTCAAAGTTTTCCTAGACTTCTTGGTTTCTTCTATCAGCGAAGTTTCTTGTCAGGGAAACATGGTCAGATCGATAGGTGGCTGTCTTTATCTCTGGGAAATAGGGTAAGGGAAACTTTGCTTATCTCTAGTTTGTCTCTTAATCATTATGTCCAAATATGGCTTCTAGTGTTTGTGCATTTTCATTGATGAACACTTTATGTCTGTCGTCTATATCCTCCTAGTTAGATGGTTGATAAGAAAATATGGAAGATATGATTCATTTCTGCTCTGCTTTGCTTGGCTCGGCTCAGTAACAAATTTGAAAGCATTATTATTATCGATTTTTTGTTGAAATGGATGGCAACAATAAGACATTTTAAGCATGCATTGAAATTACAGAGCCCAAGAGTTTTAATTGCTTTACATGTACATATGCATCTTCTCACGAAAGATTTGAATCCTCCTTTCAGGATAAGGCACTACTGGAAGATCCAATCTATGAGGAATTTTGGCAAAGGGATGTCGAAGAATCGATCAGGCAAGGAAATGTGAAACCCTTTGTGGAGGAAGCTGCTTTGCAGGTCTCAAATTGGGGTTTCAGCCTTTTAGACCTCAAGTTGCAGAAACGAAAATACAATCGGAAGAATGTTCTTAATTGGCTCAAAGCATTTTTCACAGAAACTCAGGAGTATACAGGCTTTCTCGGTCCAATACATATATGGCAAGTGAGTGCTTCTATGTTCTGTTCCTTCGACTCTCCTCTATAAAGGTTCATTTACATAAAAAGGAATGTAAAGCTACATTTTCTACTATGAAATATGTTTCTTATTTGGTTATCAAGAGACATTTCAAGTAAATGAAACAGAGAAAGAAAAATATGTTATTTTCACCTATATGACTTCTTTTTGGAAGTAAAACTATTGACTTATTACACTGCAAACGTTAACAGGGAATGGATGATAAAGTGGTTCCACCGTCTGTGACTGATTTTGTGCATCGCGTGCTACCTGGAGCTGCAGTACATAAACTCCCATACGAAGGCCATTTCACCTATATCTACTTTTGTGATGAATGCCACAGACAGATATTTACTACACTTTTCGGAACTCCGCAAGGCCCTCTCAGTGTTTCTTTAGAAGTAGATCCAACTATTCTAGAAGATAATGCTGAACAATAAGAAGTAGCAAGTAGTGGTGATAGTGCCACAGATTAGAAGCATACACAACAGGATAAAATGCTATTTCTTTGATAATTTTTCTGGCCAACATCATCACAATTCTATGATGTGTATATATATAGTTTTGCTTCGTCTCGAATGGAGCAGTAAAGGAAAGAAAATAAAATCAGTGTTTCTGCCTCTGTTTTTGGGCTGTTGAACTGATATGTCCTTCAAAAATTGTATTGAGCTCTGCTTTAAGCAATAACTGCCATGTCTCCTTAGCTCTGCCTTCCTCCTGACAAAACATAAAACTTGCTTTTTCCTCCTTAATTGGTTTTATTAGTTGAGTGTTGTGGTTTTGTTACTTTCTTTTTACCTTCTTAATTGGTTTTATTATCAATCCTAATCATTTCTAGTTATGTTAGTAATGACTTATATTATTAGTAATGGATTTCAGCCGTTCAATCGTGAATTATGTACAGAGAATGTTTAGTAATACTAATTTTATGAAGGATTAATATTTGAGGACTTGGTTGAGATGGTAAACGTCTCTTCCAGCTTAAATTCGAATTCAGTCTTAAGCATGTTGTGTTGAATCTTTTGTGGGAGAGTTTTGTGTATGAAATTTTTTTATTTATTATTGTATGTAATTTTAGTCTTTTTCTTCAACAGAGAATCATGTGTCAAATTTTATGATTTTTTTTTTGGTTAAATATATTATTTGTATCTAAATATAACAACGTTGGAAAAATAAAATTTTCAATTTTGTTCTCTCTAAGATATCTATTATCAACTAAAGAACAATCTTTTTTTCTCTTTCTTATTATTAGGCAAGAATAATATTTTCTCTCTTTATGCCAATGATAACCAAGCAAGAATGCTCTAAGATTTCTGCAATCTCAACTTGATTGATTGATTCTTTCAATTCTCTTCTTTCGTAAATTTTTTCCTCCTTTGTTCATATGGACGAGAGTGAATGCTCATGTGCTTATCTATGTCTGCAACTCAATCTGCTTTTTCTTGTCTTCTGTCTTGAATCCTTTCCTCCTTTGTTCATCTTGGATTATAGTGAGTGCTCCTATACTCATCTATGTCAGTAACTCATACCTATTTTTTATGTGTTTTTCGTCTGTGCTTTTTGTCCTTTGTTTCAGCTCGCTACAAGTCTCCTACTCGCTCTGCAAGTTTCTTGTTTGCTATGCGAGTTATTGTTTGATGTGTTCCTAGTATCTTTACCCGGTTCTACTGTTATCTATTTGCTCATTCGGTTCATTCGTTTCGGTACCAGTCCCATGAAAAGTAGAAGGATGTTGGACAAAGGAAAAATGCTTAGTTCCTATTTAGATCTAGCATGTGATTCTTTTCCCATACCTGCATTTACCAACAAACAAGATTATTGATGAATCAAGTAAATACCAAGATCAACAACAACAAGAAAATATGTATCAAAACAGAAGTGACAGTAAAACAATCTAGATCAAGGAGAAAATCCAGAGTTTGTGCCTAGGATGGCGATGATGTTCAAGATGCTTACAAAGACAACCTGGATGTTGTTCTTGAAAAATTCTTGTGTCAAAAATTGATCCACAAGTTATCTCTGAGTGTTGGCTTTACTGGGATCTGGTGTGACCCAACAGATATCAAAATAGTGGAACTAGAACCATGATTATATTATATCTTCATAAATAATTAACACGATGTTCAACGTATTATCAAGGACAACCCATGGATATGGTTATCTATCAAACCATGGAATACTGATGATAACTACAAGGAGCTGAATTTTAACCTTGTTCTCATTAGAGTTCAGATTTGGAAAATTCTCTTAAAGACATGGGCAGGCCTATTCATAGACAGTGTATGACTATAGTCATTGGGTTTGATGTATTCGTTGTCTATTCTTGAGTGGAAGTGGGACAACATTTCGATAGACTTTGTGTTTGGGTTGTCGTGAACAATGAAGATTTGTGATACTATTTAGATTATTATGGATAAGTTGACTAAATCAGCTCATTTCATTCTAATTGGACTTATTATCCGTTGGAGAGACTAACAGAGTTGTATATTGAGAAGACAATCATTTTGTATGGGATTCCATCCAGTATTGTTTCGCACATAGATCTGAGGTTTGTGTCGAGGTTCTGAGAGAGTCTGCAGAAGGCTTTGGGCACAAAGCTGCGTTTGAGTTCTGTTTCTCATTCACAGATAGATGGTCGGACTGAGAGGACTATTTGATCCTTAGAAGACTTGTTGAGAGCTTGTGTGCTCGAGAAAGGAGGTATTTGGGATGGATTTTTTGCCATTAATTGAGTTTACCTATAATAATATCTTCCATTCGAGTATTGGAATGACACCGTTTAAGGCGTTGTATGGTAGAAGGTGTAGGACACCTTTATGTTGGTATGAATCAAGAGAGAGTGATATGATTGGACCTGAGATCATTCAACAGACCATAGAGAAAATCAAAGTGATCCAAGAGAAGATGAGAGATTTGTATAGTCGCTAAAAGAGCTACCATGATAAGCAAAGGAAATCACTTGAGTTCCAAGAGGGGGACTAAGTGTTTTCGAGAATTAATCCGATAACTGGTGTTGGTAGAGTTTTGAAGACTCGAAAACTACTTCGCGTTTCATTAGTCTGTACCAAATTTTACAGAGGATAGGAGAGGTGGCCTATCAAATTGCTTTGTTATTGTCGGTTGCTAATCTTTATGATGTGTCTCATGTGTCTCAGTTGAGGAGATACATTTCAGATTCGTCTCATGTCATCCAAGTGGGTGATGTGCAGGTGAGAGATAACCTGATTGTGGAGGCCTCACCCATGGGGATAGAGGATCGGGAAGTGAAGCACTTACGTGGTAAAGAGGGATTTGTATCTGAATCTGTTTACTTAAGGTAATTTTCGAGGGCAAATTTTTTTTAAATGGGGGAGAATTATAACACCCTAATTTAGATTATTTTATTTGTTTAAATTATTTATGAATTTTGTGTATTTATTTAATTATTATGTAGTGATAATTGAATTAATTTAGGTGGTAGGGATGTGTGACCTTGAGAGGAGAGTGTAGAGAGTAGTTAGAAGTTGATAGATTTTATTTAGAATTATTTAATAATTAAAATAATAAAAATTTATTGTGATTTATTTAATTAGAATGAAAAATAGAGAAAATGGGGTTAAAAGGTGAATAATATAAAGTCGGGGGGAGGGGGGGTTATTAGAGATAAACTTGTGTTTAGTTGGGCCAAGATTATAATTATAAGGAAACTTACCATAAATATAAAATTAGAAGATAAACCTAGAGTTGAGGAAATCGTTGTCAATACGTACAAAGAGTTGAGAGGAAGAGACTAGATGTAAAAGGGAGAATTTGGAGTTTTAGTTGAGAAGAAACTACTCAATCCAATTCATAGTTCTTACTAGTAATTAAGGTAAGGGGGGAATAACCTTAATAAATGGTATATGCATGAGGGGTAGGGTAGATAAGTCATTAACCTCTAATAGGGCATTTTGTATTGATTAATTATGAGTTCTTGTGTTGTTATAATGTTGTTGGCTGAATTGATGTTGAATTTTTGTGTAAGATTATGTGTGACTTTACTGTTTTAGAACTGTTGATGTTTTCCTCCATTGATGAACTTTTGAAGGTTTTGGGATGAGTATGATTTTGGGGAAAAAGAGATTTTAATGTGTTAAAACGGATAAACTAGTTTGTTATGAATACATTATAACATGTATGTTGTGTTTATTGTTCAATTTGGGAGTCAAAATTGGAGCTTGGAATGAGCTTCAATGGTGAAAATCGCGTTTTTTATTTTTGTTGTCCTGGGCATTTGGGCATAGCTCCAGAAAGCTGGGCATAACGAGCCTGCACGGTAGCCCCGTAAAGCTGGGCATAGCAAGCTTGCGCGATAGCCCCAGAAAGTTGGGCATATCAATCCCACATATAACCCAGAAAACCTGCACATAGCGCTTCTGTGCATAGCCCCAGAAAGTTGGACGTAGCTCAAATGGCAGTGCAAAATTTTCTTTCTCGATTTCTTTTCGTGATAGAGTTTTATTCTTGGCGAGTGTTGGTACTGTTAGGTGCTGATTAACACTATTAGATAATGTTTGGTATTGTTTTGATGTAACTTGATAATTAATCATGACTTTGATCGATTTATTGAGTTCATTGATAAATAAGGAATTATGTTGTGTTTTGCAAACAATGGGTGTCATTGTGATATTTGTTGTGGTTAAATATTGTTGTGTGTTGATATGTTTTCCTATTTTAAATATGTTGTATGGTAATCCAGTGAGGGGATTATGAGAGTCGTCAGTGCATTATGTTAGGATCAGAGAGGGGTATTAATGTATTGACATTGATATGTATAATTCATGCATCATTTGAGTTGTGTCAAGAGGCATGTTCGCAAGTTCAGAGAGGGAACTACTGGCTTGTCCCAAGCTCAGATAGGGGATTTAAAACTCAGAGAGGGGGCTTGGAGCTCAGAGAGGGGGAACATTTGTTCAGAGAGGGGACTCAGTTCCTGAGAGGTCCAAATATTGATATTGATACCACATGCATATGCATTGAGTTGCATAGTTGAGTTGCATTGCATAAGTGAGTTGTATGCATAATATATGTTTGTGTGTGATTGTTGAGTTGGGTGTGAGAATATATTGTGACATGTTATATGCAATCATCTGTATAATATATATGTATTGATACTCTACCTTTTAGTATATACCACTTACTTTATTAATGTGAGTTCTCACCCATTTGTTGTTGTGGTATGTGCTTCTCCTTAGAGTACAGATAAACAGGTAACTGAGTAGCTGTTTAGAGCGGAGGATGACGTGAGGTTGTTCTTCTTTTATTTTTTGTTTTTCATTTTAGATTACGTTGCTCTGATCTTTAACACTGGATGGGGCAAACGACGTTATCTATATTCTTTTTATGTTGATTAGAGAGTGGAATGTTATGATATCGTGTTTGATGCTTACTATGTTGCATTGAGGAGATTTTTCCGTATTTGTTGAGTTTTAACAAAGTATTTTATAAGACATAAGAT